AAGATTCTTGTGGATGCGGTTGGCGCGCACCGCATGGAGCGCGATAAGATGGTGGTAAGCACACAGCGGAAGGCGACCTGCTCGCCAGACAGGACGTGTGGTCGTCGGCCTTAGCTGCATTCACCATGGCAACGCGAAAGCTGATACGACGACCGCATAGCCAGCGATGAAAGCACTCAGCTCTTCGGCTGCTACCCTGATAACTTTGGTGCGTCGGTGCCGCCACAGAACGTCGCGATGCAACGAGCGATGAGGTCTCGCCCAGCAGCACGATCCATCACGACGACGAAGGCCTTTGGTCGACAGCTCGCGCTAAACGCGGCGGTATCCGGCCCGGCAGATGGCGCTAACGTTTCCAGACTCCGGCCAGTGCAGCGGCGGACAGGCCGACGCAGCTTGGTTCCTGGTTCGCCGAGAGGACTCGTTTTCTCGCCGCAATGGATGGACATTCCAGCAGACATGGACGGCCGTCTAGCTGCTATGTACCGTAGTTAGCGAGGCGGACGGCTTGCCCTACACACAGACTCGGCAGCGAGCCGACACGAGCCCACGGCGTTATTATAGCGATTCGTTTAGCGACGCGTGTGTGTCCCCCCCACACGCCGACGGGCACGTGCTCGAAGGACCGGTGGCGCCACGCGCAAAGTGTAGACCTGGTACCTTGGAATGACATATCGCCGTTGCTGTCGAAGCGGATGTAATGGCCTTGAGATACGCCTCGAAGGTGAACGTTGCGTACGTACTTTAGCCGCCAGCGCGGCGCGCAGCAGGACGCAGGTGATTGCTGAATGCACAGTGTTAATAGCACTGCTCACGCACCCGAGCGCGTCCCAAAGCGTGAGGGAAGGCGTAGGTGGCCGTGTACAGGCCGTAGTACACGGCAATGGGTGGCAGCAGGTCCAGGTGCCTGACTCACCAGGCATGCTGCTAGTTTCGCGCAAGTGCCACTCGTGTTCGCGCAGTTCGTCACGAGCATCCCAGTACTCTCGAAACAAAAGGTTGATCACCTGTAGCTATGTAATTTATTGCCAATAATTGATGATGCATGATGTATCATATATAATAACTATATATATATATATAATATTGTTATATTAAACTATAATAATATATAATGTTATATAATGTTATAATTAATATTATATGCTTTAATGTTAATATGTATTAATGCCGTCAGTGCAGTAGCGCTTATGCATATGCATGTGTGATAGGGACGAAGCATAACAATTGGGCTCTCTTATATTATACGTGACACAGATCCACAGCATTGTCTAAATGAGTGTTCGCTAAACTTGTTAGCATATACTAGCTGCTTATTATGACTAATTGTTAGTTCTGCTCTTTTTTTGCTTGCGGAGTGCAATATGCTACATGAATGTGGACCGATTCACCGTAATTTCTAATTAGAATCGAGTTAATGCCGAAGTTTGCGCGTTGATTAATTGACATGATAAGTTACATAATGATAATTATTAATCTTTATAAGGCAACGGCTCACGAGATATTGATCATACTAATTTTACAAACACTCAAGACCAACCTAATTAACAAGCTTGCTACGCGAATATTCTAGAACATATGATTCATTCAAAATAATCTAATGGTCATGTTTTAAGTTTTTTAATCAAGCATGTGCATATCAAAGCGGCTAGCGCGGATTCACAAAGCCTCGCCTATTCGGAATAATAAACCTTGTTTTGCTGTATAATTACCCGCACGTATTCGACAGTGAACAGCGTCGCCACCAGCGCCTGAATCTGATGTCGCAGGCGCCCACACGCGAAACGATATCGTCTCTCGAGTTCCTCAAATGTCTTCGAAGGTTCCGTGCGGACGCGCGGTCGCTACACAGCCCATATGAATCGGCCCCGCTTGAGTGGGCCAGTGTCGCGCAGGCGCCATCACGATCGGGAGAAGAACTGCTGCACGGTATAGAAACGAGCGATCACAACCTGAGCCCCTGTTGCGCCACGCCCATGCGGCGCCATTGTCCTTGTAGCGGCCGACGCTCGCGATTGGCTGACCTTGAGGAAGGATCGAAAGCAAAATGTCGATGTTTCATCGCGATTTCGGGAATGTAGGCCGGCGGTGTTTCGCCGTAGCTGCACGTCCTGGTAGAGTACGCGACACGTACGTCCACCGAGATGTTCTATCAGCTGCATTCAGGCGGCTACGTGCATTGCTGTCAAAGCCGGGCCGGTGCCGCCAGACAGTAACGGATAGAGTATCCTTATTCCGAACAGCTCGTTCCTACTGGACGTGGACTACTGTAGGATGAAATCCGTAACACATCTGATATATAGCTTATGCAAATGTAGTTAGTTGTAGTTAGTAGCACGGCAGTGAGTATAGGTAAGTAGTAGTAGTAGTGGTGTAGTAGATACTGTGTAGTAGTAAAGTTAGTAGTAGGATAGTAGTAATGTATAGTAGTAGTAGTAGTTAGTAGTAGTAAGTTAGCTAGTGTATAGTAGTATAGTAGTAGTAGTGTAGTAGAAAATATATTAGTAATTATATATATATATATACGCACATACACAGATGCGCACGCACACCCGACCGCCCGTACTCACGTACACACGTGGGTTATATTATATATTTAAAATTCCATAGTCTAATATTCTTATTAGAGCTCTCGGGTGCAAAATTAATAAATCTCTATGAATCGTATACGGAACCTAATTTATACATCTCTTATTAGAATGATAGCAGATCTTCAACCAAATTTTATGAGGCCGTAAATGAAGAGAATAAATTGGAATATTTGACAGTGGATTCGGTAGTTTCGTCTGCAAAATGTTTTACCACTTGACGCAATTGGAAGACACAGCGTACCCGAAAATTGCTCCATGATCGCATGAGAACAGTGAGCAATTCCGGTGACAATCGGTCGCATAACAGCAATGCTATTGCGGCAAGGCGAACACTATTAAATACTGCCAGTCATTATATAGATTTCTTTAAATACAAGAACTCCTTATACCCTTATTTGTAATATCAAGAGCTTAGAATACTCTATTATAAGCTCGTAGTAATATTTACACACACTACCAGGTGGCGCGACTGCAGCTTCTCGTCTGCTGCAGGTGACTGCACAAGGATTTTCGCCGCTGAACATCTTCCGTTTCTCGCCCGGGTTTGGTATCGACGGATGCCTGGTCGCTGGCGGCACGGTAACGTGTGACGAATGGGCGCCATTCGAGCAGTGTAGCCAACCTTGCGAAAATGGTGCTGGCATGCAGGTATGTATCGCACGTACATTAAATAATATAATATATTGTTGTGATATCATATATATTATGTGTGAATCATGCGGTTCCACTGCTCTGCCCGTGTACTTTCGACACGCTTCTCAGTCAATGCCACTGAGCTATGAAAATAACTATGACTTGTAAAAAATGCCTATATATACTGAAGATATATGCCTCATTACTGTCTGGACGGCAATAAAACTTGCTTGAGGCAAGTGTTTCTGCTCGATGGCTATCATAACTCAAAGTGTTTGCATGTTCGCGTGTGTGTATGTCCCGTACGTTCGTGTGTATGAGCGAGCGTGTGTGCGCGCGCATACGTGCGTGCGTGCGAACGTGTGTGCGTGCGTGTGCGTCACATACATCATGCATTATGTAATTATGCATAATTACATACTACAGGTGATCAACCTTGGTTTCGAGAGTACTGGGATCTCGTGACGAACTGCAGCGACACGAGTGGCACTTGCGCGAACTACAGCATGCTGGGTGAGCAGGCACCTGGCTGGCTGCCACCCATGCCCGTCTACTACGGCCTGTACACGGCCACCTACGCCTTCGCTCACGCTTTGGACGCGCTCGTGCGCGAGCAGTGCTTTAACCTGTCATCAGCAAGCGACCTGGCGTCCTGCGTACGCGGCCCGCTGCTGCTAAAGTACGTACGCAACGTCACCTTCGAGGCGTATCCAGGCCATTACATCCGCTTCGACAGCAACGGCGATATCATTCCAAGGTACCAGGTCTACACGTTTCGGCGTGGCGCCACCGGTCGCTTCGAGCACGTGCCCGTCGGCGTGTGGGAGGACAACACGCTGTCGCTAAACGAATCGCTAATACCGTGGGCTCGTGTCGGCTCGGTGCCGGAGTCCGTGTGTAGCAAGCCGTGCCCGCCTCGTCACTACGTCATACAGCTAGACCCGTCATGCTGCTGGAAGTGTCATCCATGCGGCGAGAACGAGTACCTTCTCGCGAACAGGACCAACTGCGTCGCCTGTCCGCCGCTGCACTGGCCGGAGTCGGGAAACGGTAGCGCCATCTGCCGCCGGATACCGCCGCGTTACCCGAGCTGGTCGGACAAGGCCGTCGTCGTCGTGATGGTGATCGTGCTGCTCGGCGAGACGCTCACGCTCGTTGTCATGGCGACGTTCGTGCGGCACCGACGCGCCAAGTTGATCAAGGCGTGCAGCCGAGAGCTGAGCTTCATCGCTGGCATCGGCGTCGTCCTCAGCTTCGGCGTTGCCATGGTGATGCTAGCTAAGCCGACGACCACCGTCTGTCTGGCGAAGCAGGTTGCCTTCCCGCTGTGCTTCACCACCATCTACGCGCCCATGCTGGTGCGCGCCAACCGCATCCACAGAATCTTCACGAAAGCGAAGCACTCAGCTGCCTCGCCGCCCTGCGTCAGCCCTCTATCACAGGTCATCATCACTATCGGCGTCATCGCCGTGCAGGTAATTGGCAAGTTGTTATCATCATCATCGGCGTCATTGCCGCGCAGTTAATTGGCAAGTTGTCATCATCACTAACGGCGTCATAGCCGTGCAGGTAATTGGCAAGTTGTCATCATCACCATCGGCGTCATAGCCGTGCAGGTAATTGGGAAGTTGTTATCATCACCATCGGCGTCGTAGCCGCGCCGGTAATTTGTAATTGAAATTGTCAACATCATTATCGGCGTCATTGCCGTGCAGGTAATCAGTGACTGAAGTTGTCATCATCATGATCATCATCATCAATATCATCATCATCATCATCATCATCATCACAATCAGCGTCATCGCTGTGCGTACACATGCGTACACGCGCACACAGGCATGCACGCGGGAACGCACGAACACACACACACACACACACACACGGACACACACACACACACACACACGACACACACACACGCGCGCGCGACACACACACACACACACACACACACACACACACACACACACACACACACACACACACACACACACACACACACTACACTAC